GAGCTGCGGCTAAGCACCGCGTCCTCCCGGCAGCCGAGGGGCGTTGTCGCAGTGCCCGACGCGAACCATCCACCGCTTCCTGCTTCCCAAACAGGAAGGGCCGGGGCACGGCGGAACCGTGACACCATTGGATGGGGGGTGGGGCAGCGCCCGGCCCAGCCCCGGGTAAGCAGGGCGCGGCCGCTGTCCGCGGGGCTCCTGCGCCGGGGAAAGGGCCCCCTGTCCAGGGGCGTTATCATACGTGGGCGGGAGCTGGGAAGCAATTTATCTTGCAGAGCCAGAACGATATAAACCGGCTGCAAGCGATTTTCTGGAGAGGTAGAGGCTGGACCCTGACAAGTGGAGGGAAGACTGAGACGTACAGCAGCACCATTTTAGATGGTTAATGGGACAAGCACCAGTTGATGTTACCTGTCTCTAGGAGTGGATGGAATCAGCACCTGCTTTCCTTTCTGAAGCAAGCAGGACACAGCTACCCTTCTTTTCCTTGTTTGTTTGTTTGTTTTGTTTTCAAATGCACTGCTCGAAGCCCACTGGCTGCTCTCAAAAGCAAAGCTGTGCACACAGCAGTTGCAGCACTAGTCTTCAAGTTGTCCAGAAGGGGCAGTTATTTTGGTTTCTCTACACGGCAGCACAGGCTTCAAAAGCTGCCCGCTGGCCTCTATCTATGATAAAATTTAACTGGCTTAAATAATAATCTAGCACAACAGGTCCACAAAGATGTGCAATGTTAATCAATGCAAGTTGCTGGACTGTTGAGCTTCTGAAAGTTAAGCATACATTTGGCTACCTTCTCATTCAAGAGAAGTTTAGAAAAAGGCTTTCTATTTTATTACTGATCACTAACACTTGTCTTTCCCTGAGAGTTTATGGGAAAACTCTTCACAGCTAAACAATAAAGGCAGCAGACTATGGTTGGAGAAGGCAGAGTAATGTTTTAGCCAGGAAAAAGTCTGAACACTGAAAAAGTGAAATTTACATGCAGGTATCATATGATCTTTTTACTGTATGAAAGGAGTCAAAACACATTATATTTCTGTAAAGCAACTTGTAGTGGATCCCTTCTCTCGATTCTTTAGTTGTTCCCAAAGGAAACAAAGCTCAGAAGATGATTTAAGACCATCTAGTAACTCATTTCATTCATATGAAGACAATATTTCGTGCAACATCATTTTATTGTAAAAATAATTTAAGATGAGATTTATAGTTTAGACCTTTACAGTTCAGTTTAAATGCACCATGCAAAGGTACTGGTTTTAAAGTTGTTCCACTTCAGAATGCAGGGAAGTTTTACTTCAAGAATCATGTTGAGGATGACATGGTCTAACTGCAGATTCAATACTTCATATAGTTACACAAACTATTTAGTGAAGCCAACATTGTTAACAACGAAAGCTGCAGTTAAGCTATTGCTACCAACTATCTCTCATAAGCATGCAAAGTAGTAAAGTTTTGGAAGAGATATCCCAGATAACTCAGCCTATATGAACCAGAAAATTAACTGCAAACTTAACAAATCTGCAAGTATAAGATAAACGTAACCATTTAATGGCTGGCCACTATTACAAACATCTGATCTTTTAGGCCCCATAACTTCACTGATGCACTGTAGATTGAAGTCCCCTCTGTATCATTCATTTGTCTCCGCTCTGGAGAGACTTCCTCTCATTAGCTGCTTTCTGCTTTTGTTGCATGATTTCAGAGTCTCTGTAAACAAATGAAGAAAAAAGTAGGAAAAAAACCCCAACCAAACAACCCCTCCCCACCACCTGCTGTAATACAATCCTTGCTGATTTTATTTCTGCCTTGTTTTCTACAAGTTCCCCACCGCCCCAAGGAGAGGAAGAGCAGGATAAAGTATAGTTGTTTGGGCAAAAAGGCTCAGTGCAACAGATAAACAGGTTGTCAGTATTGTGACCTTTAAAACCCTTGCTAAGTCTATTGTTCAGATCTGTTGTACAAATCTGACAAACTCTTCCTCCATAAACAGATATACTACCTTTTATATATCCTAGACTCTTCTTGCTGAAGTATCTTCAGTAGGGGTGCACTGATCAAGAGATTTTGGGGGCCGATACTGATAGCCAATTTTTAAGGAAGCATATCAGCGGATACCAATCTGATGTCTGATACCAGCCAAGCAGTTTGAAGAGCTGCATCCAGCTGGTAAGTCTGTTGTGGTGGAAGGGGAGGCAGAAGGGAAGAGGCACAGGGATGGGGGGCAGATCAAGGCCCCCACCATGAGGGAGGAGTGGGGCAGGATGGAGCTGCAGCTCATCTGGGGTTGCAGGGAGGGGCTCCCACCACTGCATGTCCCCCAGGAGGGCATGCCACCAGATCTGCGTGGGGTGGGGCGGGGCAGGGCAGACCACCACTGTGGGCTAATGCTGCTGCAGACTCTGCCGGGGGGGGGAGATGACAACAACTGGGCTGGACTGGGCTGCTCTTGGGGCAGGCAGCATCACTGGGAGAAGGCTACAGGGAGTGTGGGGTGCAGCCACCCCAAAATTTGTCATAGCTCCCTCTGACCCTCCCCCCCGCACCACTGCCGCCCACCCCAAACGCAGCCCGGCTCAGCCCAGCCCCCACCAGGAAGAGCCCGGTGCCACCCCAGCCTACCTGCACACATTTGGGGGCGCACACTCCCCCTGCCATGCCCTGCTGGATGAGCAGCAGGAGCCACCCTGCCCTCCCCAAATGGGCGGCACTTGCCCCAGACCCTCCCTCACTACAAGGGGCCTTGATCTGCCCCTCCATGCCCCTTTCCCCCTTCTCCTTCCACAACCAACTTACCAGCTGCACGCAGCTTTCCAAGCTGCCAGGATGTGCTCCTCACCGCCTATGTGCTGTACTGTGGCTGCGCACATGCATGGGCCATTTATCAGCCATACCAGGCCTATTTCCAATATAGACAGTTTTCTTTACAATCGGTGCCGATCCGATATCGGACTGATGTATCGGTGCACCTCGCATCTTCAGAATAGGACATGCCTGCACAAGTTACAGCTCACTCAAATGTTCAGCCCTTTAAAGTATTTAAAGTTTCAAGTTCACCAATTTTTATCCAGAAGACTCAAAAAGCCATTTGATAGCTATTCCAAAAAAATCTAAATGAAATCAGGGTATCTAGTTATACAAATGGACTGCAAATCAAGAAAATAAGCTTTACTTCAGACACTTTAAAATTATCTTTCATCTTTCAAAAACAGATGAGATATATATCTTATATGACTGGTTCTGAAGCCAACCATTAGATCCTAATTTATGCAGTTGATTTCTTCACATCTCAGCTTGGCTGTGTTTGTACACTTGATATTTATTATAAATGTAGTACAAAGACTTTTTTAAAGATCAGACACATTTTACCATTCAAAAATGCAATTATGGTTCTGAGTCAAGTTGACCAAGACTATTTACCTTTTAATTTGTTGCCTAGATTTTACTTGTTGGTACTGATGGCATCTATACCAACATGTAGACAGGTTATTTTTATAACCCAAGCTTGAAATACCAACTCTTCCTGCTCATTGACCAGCCACAGGATACTGAACTTACCTTTGTTTTCTCTGTGAAGCACTCAGGCTATCCTCTTTTCTTTTCCCTTTAAGGGTCTCCTGGGCTTTCTTCATATTTTTCTGGCGAGCAAGTTCACGCTGGTTTCCACCTATAAGAGTCCAAAGTTTACGTATGTATAATAGTTCTCCTGTTTTATGTTCACTTTGTAGAAGCAATATGAAGGGTCACTTCTGTAATTTACACTTTATAGGGAGGCCAGGGAAGGAACATTACTATAATGTAAGCAGGAAGACCTAAAGATAAGAAGCTTGACACAGCTGTCAATCTAGTCCTCAAGACAAGTATAAATTTGGTATCCCACATATCTTATCACAGGCAACTAATCTGCCTCTTTCCAAGTTCCTATAATACAGTACCTCCTAGTTTCAAACAGGTACAACTGTAGGAAGAGGTTCATGTGTCACCTGTTTGGGGTGTTTTGTTTTTTTTTAACCAGACGCATGTGCACTCTCCGTATGAAGGCAATTAAAAAAAAAGAAAAAAAAAGGCTTTTACAGAAACTCGACAGCTGCTTGATAGTGGCAAAATCTTGCTAACCCTGCTCCAACCAACAGCTAAGTGGTTTCTGCTGAAGGGTTTTAGAAATTCTTGATTTGACAAAATACTGACTTAAGCATTTAATGGAGACTACTAGACTAAACAAGTTTAAGGGTCTATTTCAGGAGACTAGAATCCCATCCTTAAAAATGGGCATTCAGTCCATGTACACCACAAAGAAAATGAATCTGCAAGGACCATACTGTGCAGGGAGTTGGGATGCCAGAGCAATTAGTTCTGCCTAAACACAGCTTTTGGGTACATGCAGCACCACTTTATCAGAGATGCATCATTTGGGATTTGGTGGCTGAAATGTTAAGTGTCTCAGCACAGCCCTGCTTTGTCCCACATGCACATGGAGTGCACCCACAAAGGTTTCTAGCGCCTTCTGCCTGCCCCTAGACAAACAAGTTCTGCCCACTCCTGTCTGCCATATGCCTGCAAGCCCAGTAATTAGACATAGTAAACACCATAGTATTGCTCTCAAGCTCTTTCCTTCTGGATGAGCATCTACAGCAATCCATCTACCCCACTTGCATGCTAGGTTAAGGTAGGCACAAAGCATCACATGAAAGAGCAGCATTTGGATTTGCAGCAATTCTGTCCAAGCAGGTGGTACCACACTAGCACTACAGTTCCCTAGGACACCAGTTCCCAAACTGTGGTACACAATAAAAAGTGGGGGGGGAGGAGTATGTGGGAGAAGTTGTGTAATGGCATGTTTAATGTTAATTGTGATAACTGGCATTTAAGGGGTTAAAATATAAAATGTATGTTGGGAGGGGTCTCCGGGCAACTGGTAAGTCTGGAAGGGGGGTACACAATAAAGAAAAGGTTTGGGAATCTCTGCCCTAGAGGAACTGATGAATAGTGCAGAAACAGGGACAGCTTCAATGCATATCCTCCCCGAGGGGAAAAAAAAAAAAAGCTATATATCAAGTGCTTTCTTGCTCTCCAAGCATTTGTTATTTTCTACTTTGGATTTTTCCTTCAGGTCTTCCTTGTTTTAAACCATAGCCTCAGAGAAGCAGTGCCGGATGGGACCTGCTGGGGTCATTTAGTCCCCTGGAGGCAGGATCATCCCCATCCAAACCATCCTATACAAATAACCAAGTCATCAAACACCAGATTAGGAGCCGAGCTGGAGTGCTGCCTGCAGAGAACGCCCTGGGGCCTGGCACCCAGCTTGCAACAAGCCCAGCAAAGAGCTCACTGCAGCTCTACCAGGCCACCTCACAGGAGAGCCCGGAGCAGCCCTTGGGCTGAGCCCCAAGACACGGCTGGGCGAGGCCTGGGCAGCCTCCCCCCGTCAGTGCCGGGCCACGGAGGGAAGCACCTCCCCGCTGGGGCTGCGCGCGCTCGTCACCCGGGCGGCCCCTCCGGCCTGTGCAGACACACACAACTGCCCCGCCGGGCACCACGCGCCCCGCCGCGTCCGCTGCGGGCTGGGGCCGGCAGAGGCCTGCACACGCCGGGCGCAGCCGAACGATGGCGTCGCTCTCCGCGGCGAGGAGCTGGAGCGGGGCCCGCCGGGGCTGAAGCCGCGACGCCAGCAAGGAGGAGGGGGAAGGCGAAGGAGGAGAGGGCGGGGGACGCGGATGTTTCCGGGCCCAGGGAGGCAGCACCGGGGCCCAGGCACCGCGCCCGGGAAAACAACTCGCGGCGGCAGAGACCCTGGGCCAAACGCACACCCTGGCCCCACGGG